CTGCTGATCCCTGACACCATCTGATGAGAGGGTGAGGCACCGGGGGTCCCACGAGGGAAAGTGGGTAGCCCCTGTCACAGGTCTGAGGACCTGGAGCTGTGGAGTACTGGGGCTTCACTGCACTGGCTCTGCCTTTGAGGCCCCTTTCACCAGTGGGACTAAGGCCCAGGAAGCAATGCCTGCCCAGAGTTGGCCATGTGCTGTGGAGTGGAGCCTGCAGTCCAGACCGAATCATGGGGAGGCCAGGGTTCGGCTGAACTAGTATCTGGATCTCAGTTCACTGGCAGCTGCTTAGGGAAAATAGATGTTTCAAACAGCTCATCTACAATTGGTCCCAGGTGAGGAGCCTATGGGAAATGAGAGGAGGCTTTTAGGCCAAAAAGTATAAGAACAAAGGGAAGAAACAAGCCTATTTTGTGTATCAAGAAGCAATCTAGGGGACTTCTCTTGCGATCCAGTAGTTCGATCCCTGGTCGGGGAACTAAGATCCCTCATGCTGCACGGCGTGGCCAGAAAAGTTTTTTAATAAAAAAAAAGCAATCTGGAGTCAGTCCAACACTGTTCTTCTCTGGGTCTTCTTCCTCATAGGTAAAGGAAGCAGGCTGGATGGATTAAATCTACTTGTTTTCCTTCAAGATATTTCAAGGAACTGTAGAATACAGGGGAAGTGTATAAGAAATTTATAACCTTTTATTTGGTTTAACTTTTAAAATTTTATTTCAAAAACTCTAATAAAAGTCAGTGGACATACTTGTATATATGATAGAGCCCACCGATGTATTTAAATTCTGCTGCCAGGTTAGCTCATTGGGAAGATGTTTGAATAAACCCTTCCCTCCTGTCAGCGTAAATGAAGGTAGAAGGCTGTTGCAGAATAAACAGTTTGAAAGAGCAAGGCACTAAGCCCAGATTCAGAGAGATGGGGCTTAGCTGCTGCTGCTCAACAACGTGAGGAATGTGACCGTTCACATTTGCATGCATTTTTAAACCACCGCAACTTTGTAACTACTTATCTGTGTGAATCAGAATTCTCTCCTACTGTGCAACCAAATACAAGAATAAATTAGATCCTGTGCTTGGTGAAAGGGTGGCTGTCATATACAGCCCTTGACTTAAAATTGTTATATCCATCAAATAGTTTCCTTGTTCTCATTGATTGATTTCATTAACAATTAACATTCAACTTTCAGGGAATTCCCCGGTGGTCCAGTGGTTAGGATTCTGTGCCTCCACTGCAAGGGCCACAGGTTCTATCCCTGGTCAGGGAACTAAGATCCTGCATGCCGCGTGGCGTGGCCAAAAAAATAAATAAAATCAATTTATAAATGTATTCTAATTGCTAATAGTAAGATCTAATTTTTAAAAAGATTGACTACTAAAAAGGCTTGGAAACCAATGGACTAAATAATCACCAAGGCTTTATTTTAGGACAGACCTCCACTTTGAGCCGCTCTAAATTCTCAGGAACTTCAGATCCTTAAGTCTTCGAGTCCAGTCTGCTCGCACCACAAACATTTCCCAGTGCACTGTGATCAAACACTCCTCACAACCCTTGGTGCTCAAGAGCCTGGGAGCTCCGTGGACAGGGGTGCTGGCCTCGTCACCCGTTTCCCTCATGCCGGAACGGGATAAGCCTTCCAAACTTTTGCTGAACACCTAATCCTGGGTACGTGTGTGGGGGTACCATTCCTCTCTTTGCTGCCCCTGGAGAGGCAACTGTGTCTATACTGGGAATGACCCAGGTTAGCAGTGAAGAAACTGGGATGTGTGTTTCCAGTCTGCAGTCATTAGTTGCTTGTAGCTTCGGGCTTGTGAAATGTCTCTATTCCACGGTTTTCTCATTCTCGAGAAGGATGAAAACAACCTGTGCCCTTGACCTCGCAAGTTTGTTAAGACGATCAATGTTGTGCATGTAGCAGAACTCCTACAGTTTAATCATTCACACTTGAGCAGTTCTTATCCGCTTTGCTTTTGTTTCAGCCAAAGGGGCTAGAAACTCCTCCAGGGGCAGGAGAGTTGATTCAGGTGCCAGGTCCAGTCTTGGGTTCACACGTAGGGCCCCCTCCAACTCACCGGGTCCTCTGGACTGCGTACCTCTTCAGGTGCCCAAATCCAGGTTCTGTTCCCCACAGGTGAGCCGGCCCCATCCCCGCCGGCCCTCACACCCAAAGTCCTTCTGATCTTCCAGTCCCGTCTTCACCCCCTCCACCCACTCCACCCACTGCAGCAGGCCCGTTCCATGTCTACTGCCCCTGGGCGGTCCTGCCAAGTCATCCAGGACCAAGCTACTCCTGCTCCCTTGGCCCCCACTTGACCCTTGCTCCTGCTGGATTTCCCCCATCATTTCCCCACCCCTTAGTTTTCCCCGCCTGACCCTCGAGAATCAGCTCACTGCCCACTCCTCCACAGTTGAGCTTTACTGGGTGTTTGGCCTCCCCATTGAACTGTATCATAGACCTGGAGGGGTACAACCATGTAAGCTGTTGATGAGCTTGACCGCCAAGGGGTTGCACTTAGGGGCCCAGCGAAGGGCAGAGCCTTTTCTCCCAGCTGGCTCTATATTCATTCTCCAGAGTGTGAGTTTCTGTCCCCTCATCCATGTCACCATTGCACAGCCCCTGAAGGAGAGGAGGCAGACAGGACCTGCTAGACTGCCCCCGCTTTTCTGGCCCAGGGGTGGGGGAGGGTAGGATGTGTGCCATCGCTCTCTCTCCTCCAACTCTGTGTACCCCGCCATTTGAACCCTCGCTCCGTGGCTTTTCTTAGCCTGGCAGCACCTGTCCCTCTCACTCAGATCTGGTGGCTCATAAAGAACAAATAGATTTGGGGCCCCGATGCAACCTTTTAATTCCAAGCAGAGTCCCCCTCCCCCAGCATTATCACACACACACGGCGGAAAGGGATGTCGGGGTCTGGGCAGGAACAAAACCCAGACCCCGGCAAAAAAATATATATATAATTATATACATGTGTATTTGGAGAGAAGAAAAGCTGGGAGCGTGATTAAGGTAGGGCAGAGAGTTAGGTGAGGAAAGCAGCTGGGGGGGCCCCAATAAATTACATTCTTTAGAGAGCATGGTGGGGGATGCAGGGGTGTGGGTGGGACCTGGTAGCCAGGACTCTCAGCCTGGCTCCTCATCCCATCCAGGGGAGCCCAAAGGCCTGGGCTCTGCCCGGGACCTGGATGCTAGAAGGTAGCATTCTAGCCGACTCAGCCTGAAGGCTGATGTTGGGCTGGGGGTCTGTATAGGCGACATCTCCACTCTAAGCCAAGGCTTCTAGGGAAGCCTCAGGGCTGGAGCAAGAGGCTTCGAAGCTTGGGGTTCACAAGGAGAGGACAGGGTGAGCTGGAGGGCTGGGTGGCCTCCCTGCTGGAGGCTGAGAGACGGGAGGCCCAGGTGCAGGGGAACCTGTCCCAGGTGAGCTGCGGAGGAGTGCTTGGGTGCACACAGGGTCCTGGGCGCTCTCTGCCCGTGTGGCTGCTTCCCACCCTCACGTGCCTCCTACCAGGCCCGAGGGTTCTTCCCACCCATTGGTCAGGACAGCAGACAGGCCTGACCACTAAGTGTCATGTTCGTGTCTCATCACTCTCTTCTGGGGACCTTCACATGGGGGTGGGGGCAGGGAGAGAGGGTGCAGACACTAACTCTGAGTGTGCTGGAGTGCACGCTGGGTTTGCCCTGTGCAGCGAGGACCAGGGATGAGAGAAGGGCCCCCCCACTAGCTCATCATGGGGAAGGAGGTCCACGTCCCCAAACCCCAGCACTGCAGAGGCCTTACTCTCCCTTGACCTGGGCAACGGAGCCAACCCCACCTCTGCCCCACCCCCCTGCTCCCCCCAGAGATGATGCTTTGGGGTCTAGTGACCCCAGCTCCAGAACCCTGAAGGAGCAAGGGTGAGGGTCAGTCACAGAGCAGGTGGGGGCCATCAGAAGAGAGAGGCCTTTTTCTTGAGTTCGTTTCGCCTCCACAGAGCCAGCTTGCCAAACTCTTCGGGAGACATGGAAAAGACCCTTGAGAAGTCCTCTGCTGACAGGTGCCTCTGCAAGGGGGACACACAGAGGCAGTGTAGGGACAGAAGGCACAGGGTGGGGCTGGGCCACCTTCCCCCACACCGGGCAGGGGGTGCCCCTCACCCACCCAGCACATTCTCCCTGCGTACCTCAAGCCTCATCCTATCCACACCTGGAGGCAACTTGGTTCGCCCCCTGTTGGTCACCACCAGCATTTCGTAAGGATAGATCTGGCGGGGAGGGGAGGCGGGCAGTAAGTATTAGGCTCTTGGAGGTCCCCGTCAGCGTAACCCCCTCCATTCCCCAGGCCCCCTTATCAGCCTGCAGGGGCCATGGGGGCTCATGCCATCTTGCCATCCAACTCCCCCAACTTCCGTGCTGCCCCTCCCATCATCAGCCAGGAGGACCCCTCAGTGCATTCACTTCCCTGGCTTCTCCCCAAGCTGGCCCGCCCCCGATAGAGACGGTTCTGTCCCCTGCCCACCATCCCCTGCCTCTGCCCCTGCCCCTCACCTTCTGCTCCAGCACACAGGGAAGGGAGATCCCCCGGTCCATCCTCCCCCTCTGGCCCTCTCCGTTCTGGGGAGACCAAAGCCGCAGTGAGCCAGAGTGGGGCAGGGAGGCCTCCCCAGCCTTACCCTAGGCTTCTTATGTCCTCACCAGGTGACTCCGTAGCCCCTTACCCCTCCCCCAACACTGCCAGTCCCCCGTCCATCCGTGGCTTCCGCGCTCCACGTGTTTCCCTCCAGAGGGCACTCACCTGCAGGCCTGTGGGAGAGAAGAGCCATTGTTCAGAGGCAGCTCTGAGGTCAGCAGGCTTCCAAACCCACCAGCTCAGCCTCCCCGACCTCCAGCCACAGAGCCCTGCCCACATCACAGACAGGGGCTGCCCCAGGCGCCTCTTGAGCCCCTTTCCCAGCATCAGGTCGGCCCTGCCTCTCACCTGGGCTTTCGGTCTCACTCCCAGATGGGCTGAAGTCTGTGGACTGTAGCTGGAAAGGACACGAAGGAATCAGAGGAAGCTGGAGCGTTCCACATTGTCCCCCTTCACTGTAAGGGTCTGGCCGCCCCCCCGGGTGCCCGCGTAGCTCAGTCCCTCACGGGCCCTACATGCACACTCTTCCCACGAGGCCTGTGACCTCCGTCCTGGGACCTTACCCGGCTCAGGGTGGTCCTGCCGTAGGCGGGGAGGGAAGAAGACTTCGATGTTCCCACGTGCAAGGCTGGAATAGAGTAGGAGGCCCTGTCTCAGACCCTTTGGCCGGACAGTCTTTCCAGAGGGTCATTCCCTGGCCGTCCCTGCCAGGGGCAGGGCAGTGGAGGGGGGACTTGGGGGAAGCCGGTGGGCCTCTGTTGGCTTCCAGCTCCTGCCCGTAACCTTCAGCAGGTGACATCGTGCTGGCAGCTCTGAACTATCCCTAATGCCTCCCCTCTCTCTAACAGACATGCACAAAATAGACATTTGGGCCAAATGTCCGAGTGTTCAAATTGATAGTCAGCCAACGATAGTCAGATGATGAGGCTCACCATCATAAAATGAACCTCTGGAATATGAAAATAAATCTAAAATTTAGTCAAAACAATCGAATTATTACAATTTTATGTTTAGCAATGTTGGTAATCAAATTTCAAATGCTTGATGTTATAAAGCAGAAGCTGCAGTTTTCCCAGCACCTTCAGCTTGCTAGATGGCACCGCAGTCACTGGACTTGACATTCGCATGACCAGATGTCACTTTCAACTTGACGTCCAATAATATCACTAAGCTTTCAAGCACTGCAGATTATAATTCAAGAAAATTGGTTTTCGGTAACAGGTTTTCCTAGGAGGATTCTTAGTTTGCACTAATCTCAAAATTCCTTCATCTCCAATGACTAGAAATTGCTGGCATGGTATAGCAATTGTTTTGACCAGCATTTTTTGTGTGAAGGTTTAGCCTGGACAGACTCAAAAGTATAAGGAAGAATTGTTTTCTTCAAACATTTTAATAAAATATATTATTTGGAAGTTTGGTGAGAACAAAATGTGTTTTGGGGACCCTCGTGGTTTTCTTTTCCTTAATGCTTCTTATTTTTGTGTAGAAAATTGTCTGCTTTCACAACCCTCATTGTTAAAGCACTTCTCTTTTGCGATAAGTACACACTTCTCCCTCAACTGACTGATAAGATTTTTTTTGAAAATTTTTGGCCATGCTGCATGGCATCCCCAACCAGGAATTGAACCCGTGCCCCCTGCATTGGAAGCACGGAGTCTTAACTACTGGACCACGAGGGAAGTCCCTAAAGTGTATAAGATTTTCACTCCTAATTACTTCTAGACCACTTATTTACGTTTGAAAGTGACCGTTAACTTCAATGTTACCCTTAAGTCAGAATGACACGCCTGTCCGTACTTCTGAAATTGTTCAGACTGATCAGCTACAAGAGCAACCTACGCAATCATATGACCGTTGATCCCATACAAGTTCAAGGATGCCAACAGTGACACTGAGGCAGACATTTCGCTGCTCAACTTTGCAAGGCCGATTGCACATTTAAGAGCTAATTTTGCCTAACTAGCGAATCCTGGTGGAGCATGCAGACTGAATCCAACCTTCAGGGCATCTCTCTCTGCCTCTTTCTTCGGGCCTTAACTATTTATTCCACATTCTCTAAAAAGGCCTGTTAGAAGCTCTTCCCACCCACACTGAAATATCATCCTGGTGAAATATCATTTCGATGACCCTATGGATGTCCCAGCCATATATGAGCCTTAACGGTTCCTTGAGTCCCCCAGCCCAGTGGCTTTCACCTCCACTCTACAGCATGCAACCCCTTCCGGTGGCCAGACCCTGGATCTTGTCATCCACGACCGCTTCGCTTTGACACTGAAGCCTGGATATCACACTTTGCGGCCACAGCGCCCTTTTTTTTTTTGCGGTACGCGGGCCTCTCACTGTTGTGGCCTCTCCCGTTGCGGAGCACAGGCTCCGGACGCGCAGGCTCAGCGGCCATGGCTCACGGGCCCAGCAACTCTGTGGCATGTGGGATCTTCCCGGACCGGGGCACGAACCCGTGTCCCCTGCATCGGCAGGCAGACTCTCAACCACTGCGCCACCAGGGAAGCCAACACAGCGCCCTTTTTCGTTTGCAGCTTTCCCTCAGCCACATTCCTGGCACATCTGCTGGTCAATGTCATGGGGAACCTCCAGTGTCTTGATCCCCCACTTCCCCCTGACCTTTGACCCATAGGTGGGTACATAACCACTTTCGCCCACACTCAGCAGCACCCAAACTCTAATCCTGCATCAGCCCAGGGCTCCCCTTTTGCCCGCAGGCTATGGGGATCAAGCCCATAACGTGTACCTTAGCATCACTACAGACCCTAACGCCTCTCATCAGTTCCCTTTCCCAGCAGAAGCTGTTCCGAACCTTCACCACTCTCACCAAGCCTCACCCTCCGTGTGCTCAGCAGACGACGTCAACTTCTCTTTATTTTTTTTTGGCCTAGCCACGCAGCATGCAGGATCTTAGTTCTCCCCGGCCAGGGATTGAACCCGTGCCCTCTGCACTGGAAGCACAGAGTCTTAACTACTGGACCGTCAGGGAAGTCCCTAAAGTGTATTAAGATTTTCATTCCTAATGATTTCTAGATTGCCTTTTTATGTTTGAAAGTGACCATTAATTACGTCAGAATGACACGCCTGTCCGTACTTCTGAAATTGTTCAGGTTGGAGCTTGGATTCTTAACCACTGGACCACCAGGGAAGTCCCGAACCTCAACTTCTGATGTGGGCTGCTCCCAAAGCCAAGTCCCTGACCCTTTCAAGGCCAGCCTCCAGCATCCTGAGGCTGGATCTCACTTCTGACCTCCTCCCAGCCAACCTTCCAAGGGGATTGTAGTGTGAGTACTCTCCAAGGAACAGCCCTCGGCACCCTGCCCTTCCCTCCCCTTTTTCTACACAACTGGATTTTTTCTCATGGTCCCACTACCACGTATAAGCTGAAGATTCTGCTTGAACCCTGACTTGCGCCTCAAGCTAGCAACTCAGTCAAACTCAGCCCCCACCTACATGCACTTAAAACCCAGACACATCCCAAAACAGTCTCTTCATCTTTCCCCTGAAACCTGCCTCTTTCATGATCTCAGCCCCAGGTCTGTCATCACCCAGCACCCAAGACAAAAACCCCAACTCGTCTCTCCTTCACCACCCATATCCAATCAGCCACTAAGTCCAGTTGATTCCATCTCCTTTACAGATCTTCCTCGACCTACGATGGGGTCACGCCCTGATAAACCCATCGTTAAGTCAAAAATGCATTTAGGGCTTCCCTGGTGGCGCATTGGTTGAGAGTCTGTCTGCCGATGCAGGGGACACGGGTTCGTGCCCCGGTCTGGGAAGATCCCACATGCCGCGGAGCGGCTGGGCCTGTGAGCCATGGCCGCTGAGCCTGCGCGTCCGGAGCCTGTGCTCCGCGAACGGAGAGGCCATAACAGTGAGAGGCCTGCGTACCGCGAAAAAAAAAAATGCATTTAATACACCAAACCTACTGAACATCAGAGCTCAGCCCAGCCTACCTTAAACGTGCTCGGGACACTTCCATGAGCCTACAGCTGGGCAAAGCCTATTTTACAATGAAGTGTTGAACCTCTCATGTAATTTACTGCATGCTGTACTGAAAGCGGATATCAGAATGGTGGTCTGGGTACAGAATGCTTGTAAGTGTATGGGCTGTTTCCTGTCGTGATGATGTGACTGGCGGGGAGCTGAGGCTCGCTGCCGCTGCCCAGCATCTGAAGAGAGCATCATGGGACTTCCCTGGCTGTCCCGTGGTTAAGACTCTGCACTTCCACTGCAGGAGGCGCGTGTTCAATCCCTGGTCGGGGAACTAAGATCCTGCATGCCGCATGGTGCGGCCAAAAAAAAAAAAAAGAAGAAAAAAAAGAAAAAAAAAAGCCAAGAGAGCATTGTACCGCACATCACTAGCCTGGGAAAAGGTCAAAATTCAAAACTGGACATACAGTTTCTACTGAATGCATATTGCTTTCGCACCATCGTAAAGTTGAAAAATTGTAATTCCGGGGCTATTTCTATTACAGACTGTACCTGTATAGTTCTCAAACCCATTCCGTCTTCTCTGGACCTATGTATATTTTTAGCCCTTACCCAGATGATTGGAAAGTGTGGTAGACTGTCTCCGAAGATGGCCCGCAACATTACCTCCCAGCCTGTGTGCCCTTGGGTGGTTCCTCTC